GTTAAATCTCTGTGTTCTTCTTCTGGTTTGTGTCGTTTCCTGTTTTATTCCGCTGCAATTCTCACAACAACTAGGACAGAGTTGAGAAGGTAAGGAAATTTTTTAGTTAATCAATCAAAACTATGCAAGCTCTGATTTTGCTTAAATGCGTTGGTCCCTTCTAAGAATTAAGCTTTACTGATGAATTCTATTAAATATTCCAAACCATAACTATCTTTCCTTCGTGAATCATTCTTGAATTTTAAATTGCTTAAAACAACATTGAAGGAGACTAGTAGACAAGAAAATCGACTAGAAGGGGTGCAGAAGAGGAATGTTTCAGACATTTGAAGTTTGAGACTAAGGATATTTTACTAGGTGATTTAAGAAACAACCAAACTTGGGAGGGGTGTCGAATGCTTTGTTTGAAAATTCTATGATTATGTTCTGCTGTGTTGTTTGTTATGGTCTTATGGAATACTGTTTCTTTTAGTATGGCAAAGACATAAATGATATTTTGGGTTTCTTTTGATAATGGAACATTAGGAGGTGGGCGGTTGTATGATATTGTTTATGCTGCTTAAAATTGTTAAATGGCTACATCTCTACTAGGTTTTCTTTTGCATCTGGAAAGAGCGAGGAATCATGGACTTCATGAAGTGTTAAAGCTAATCCTGAAGTCTTATAACCTTGTCATCATTTTATCCTCTACTTTCTTTCAGAAGATTAACTATTTACATTGGTAACGCAGTAGATCAGCAACATCTAGTTGCGTCTCTTTTTATATCAATCTTTCTCGTTTCAACATGAAGAAACTTTGTGGCAGACTTTTTATTTATGGCATTCATTTGTCACTTGAATATCCTTTTTTCCATTTGTGGTTGATGAATACTGAATTTCTGTTTGATATATAGGATGGGGGTTGTTGTGAAGAGTTCAATAAAGAGTCTATTGAACGTGATGAAAGACATCTTACAGATTTGGGTCAAAGGACTATAGAAATCTTTGTTGTTGCTCATATTTTCAGGTAATTTTTTTGTTGGTCCTATTATTTTTTTCCACAATTCACTTCCCATGTTATTTTGTTTAAGACAATTTTTTCGTGGGTATATTATTAAGAGACTGGGCTATGTAAAAATATCTCAGGTGATTGTTGAAATGTAAAAGAAGCCACGTCTTTATATGCATATATATGATTTTGATGTTGCAACATTTTTATATCTGTATGTAGGAACAGGTATGTTAAATATGATTGAAGGAACTTTTGTCAGAATAAAGATAAATGGGAGAGTATTGAAGCAGAGGTTTAGAATGTCATGGATTTCGAGAATTAATTTCTTTTTGTGATAGGGTGTTCTATCTAAAGAGGTTATTTTTGTGCTTAGATAATTAGTGTAAAGTCTTTGAGAGTAATTGAAGCACTTTCATAATTTTTTGCTGACATTGAGAGCTATATGATTTGAGTAACATTGGAATAATTTGGTGGGTATGAAGGTTTACTTATGTGAGCGTCTCTGATTCAAACTTCAATGTATTTTGAAGTTGCTAAGGATATGTATGATAGAGCAATGACTGACATTACATTAGAAGTTGTTTTGGATTAATCAATAGGTTACCTTTAGGATTGTAATTAACTTCTTATGATTCTATGTCGGCTATTCTTACAATAAATAATGAAAGCAAGGTATGATTTTAGTAAGCAATATCTTTTTTCTGAAATGATGAGAAAATAATAGAAGAGCATAACTTGATAATACAAGTTTGGTGATTCTGTAACCGATAATTATTGGTGAAAATGGGAGGATTGAGTGATGCATAAGAATGATAAAGTCAAGAATTCTTATCCTATTTTTCAAAAGAATAAGGATAGAGAGGAGAAGAGATGATTGATGAAGTTAAAGATGGTTGTCTAAATTGTGAATCTCCTAGGAGTATCTTACGATAAGATTATACTTTGGATACTTATAAGAAAGTTTTATAAAAAAGTTAGTGAAATGACTATTTTTTATGGATTAGAGTTTTGGGCAAATGATGAATTCATTAATAGCTTTGCTATGCAGGAAAATGAGGTTATTATGATGGGTTTGTCGTAAAGTTAGAAAGGCCAAAATGAGGAATGGTATCATTAAAGATAAATTTGGAATAAATCATTTGAAGATGGAATTTTTTAAAATAGTTAGATGATTTTGGCATGTATAATGGAGCATATAAGATGCTTCAATAGTGTAGATAAATAGAATTAATGTGTAAGGATTAAATTTGCAAAAGGTTTATAACAAATATAACAATGATGAAGATGCAAAATAGAGGAACTCTTAATCCAACACTGAAAGGAATGAATGAAGAAGGATGGTTTATTAAATTGATACAATGTTGGAATATGATATAATGGTAATGTTGGTTTCAATGCTCTCATATACATGCATTTAAATATTTGATATTTGTACACACCTTTAGAAAATTGAAATTGTGTCCATCATGGTCAATAATTCATGCAAATACGGATAAAATTCCCAAAATAATAAGACATGCAAAATTGTGCTTATGCAAGCGTGTGAGTGGGCTTGCATGCGTGGAACCTCTAGTGCATCCCTGCTTGCATGCAAAAAAAATGATATAATAATCTCTAAAAAAAAAAATAGTGGACAAATTTAGCATGATGCCATATTTTGATAAAATTTCAATCAATTACATGCACCAGTGTGTAAATAAATAAAAAATTCGAATGATTATTGAAATCATCCAAAATGAAAACTCACGCCTCATACGGGTAGAGGAAACTCACTCTCACAAGTTGTTGATAATATCTGTGAAGTGCTTACATTCAACTAACTAACAAAAATATCAGGAAAGTTTAAATTTTATTTTAAACCTGACTCATTGGTGCGGCCTCTGGCATAAGTCCCTCGGGTCGGGGGTTCAAATCCCGTGGCGCGGGCTCTTCAAATCAAGCACACCGGATTTTCAACCCATACGGGGGAATCGATATTGGTGTTCTTCTCAAAATAACAATAGACTCTTTGGCTTCGGGGATAAATCAACATGGTATTGGATATTTCCCTTTTACTTTAGAAAGTTCTTCACGATTTGAGATCATTTAAGATATTTTTTCACGTTCAAGCGAATAAGATACTTGAAATACCTAGATTCCCCTTTCCCTTTAAAAGTGCTTTTTATGGATTTCTTTCATGCATGAGTAGGTATCATTGGTTTTGTCTAGCACGTGTTATACAAAAATTTGATATTCTTTCAAGGTTCCCTTGTTTGACAGCAGCAAGTTTATGGTTCAAAGAGAACATCATTTGGACACATTTCTTCTACTATCAAGTAACATAAATTGCAATATAACAGTTCAGGCCGGTAGCTCCTTTCTCAAGGTCTTATCCCCGGTTTATTTAAATGTTTTCTTTTCCTTCTCACTTTAAATGGGGATTAATAAAAGCAAAGGTGAAAAAAATGCTTTAATTTACTACTACTCTTTAACCGGGTTATAAAAGAAGCAAGTTGTAGTCATGGTAGTCTTAATCTTTTTTTTTCCTCCCCTAATGAGGGTATGCTGGAGAAATGGCTAGATTGTTTCTATTTTTGGATTGAAGTTCACTTGTACAAATCGTAGAAATATCTCCTTAAGGTAAGATTGCGTACATCAACCCTGAGATGGAAGCCTTATATTGAGTTGCCTTTATTCTGTGAACTATAAAATCTAATCGAAGTAGTAGCGGAAACAAGGCAAGGTTGTCTCCAACTGCTGTTTTAAGAAATCTAGCTCGTTTATGAGATATTATGGACCATTGATTTCATTCTTTTACCCGTTTTTGCCTAGTAACATCCTTTTTTATATATTATTTTCTTTTAAGTCATCATATCAATACACAGGCTAACAAGGAAATGTTTATTTTCTTTACTTCTCTAGTAGCGTAGAAAGTAGAGGAGAAAATAGAATAAATAGAGATAGATTAAATGAAACAGACATCAGAATGCCTATATTTCAGCTTTTATTTTTGTATATCATTCATTTATTAGGTTTATACTATCTTTTACTGCCTATCAGAGGTCTGACTTAGAGCAACCGTTTTTTGATTATTGTGGCCTGATATTATGCTTGAACCACACCTCCCATGATGCCATATTGTAAGATGCCTCCCTCGTGAGAACCGTGAGCCATGCATTATCCAGAAACACCAAAATAAGTACTTTTGAAGGTGGAACGAATCGCATAGCCATTCAGGTATTCTATATCTATATGAGCTTATATAGTGTATGAGTTATGAGTTTGTTATGTATGAATGACAGGTGATTCTGCGGATAGGAGGTGGAGAATAGGTAAGTTTGTTACCCAGTGACAAAATTTACTTAGTTGTTTTAACAAACTTTGTTTTTAATAACTTTTATATTGTTTGTATAGCAATACCTCTCAAATTAAGAATCTAGGTGATAATCCTTTGGTTAAGATATCTGCAGCTTGATCTTATGTGTCTGTTGTGATGAAATCACAGAAATCGATTTGAGAGATCTGAAGCAAATAGAACAAGAAAACACATAATAATGTAAGGAACACCAAGATTTAACGTGAAAAAATCCGAGAACTCGAAAAAACTACGGAGTCACACCACACCAAGAAATTCATTATGAAAATGAGGAGAAATATACATAGTACATCACATTCAAGCCTTTCTACACTTCTGGAAATTAAGAACAACAATTCAGACACTCCCGTCTCTTTCGCACAAGAGATCGTGAAATCCAACATTACGCTCACCCTATTCGTAGTGAAGTTATAGACTTAAAACCTTAATTGATAGAGATAGTTATTGACGTCGGAGCGTCAGTCCTGAGCGCTTGTTTTTTAGGTGCTCATGTTCTGGAAATGATTCAGGAGCAGTTGCACCCGTCCTGGGCGCCGCATTTCCCTGCTCTCAGATTCAAGGAACATCTTTCGGAGCGCCTAGGCGCCACTCGAGGCAACGAGTTTCCTAGCTCCATGTTCCATAAGAGTATGTTGAACGCATAGGCGCCACACCAGGCATTGGGGTGCCCCATTCGGGTTATGTGGCACCCAACCAAGCACTGGGGTTTCCTCTCCTTTTCCACCAGTAGGCTCCTCCTTTCTATAATCATACTCCACACACAATATTCTCTCATTTGAAGAATGATTGTAATCAATTCTTCTCCTCAAACATGTACCTTTCATAGTAATAAATGGTATTGTGGTTTAACCCCCAGTCTCAATCTTCCAAAACTTCAAACCAAGCATAGATTCAGTTTCTCAGTTGTAGCAATCTTAATCAACATATCTGCATGATTCTATGTTGTATGTATCTTTTGCAAAGATAACTGACTATCTTCTAGAAGTGAGCGTTCTATGTGCTTTTTCTTGACATGAAATCCGACATTCTTAGCTAGATAAATACCACTCATACTATCACTATGAAGTTTTTCAATCCCTTGCTCTTTTGCCAAGTTTTGTCATGAAGCCTTGTATCCAAATCATCTCCTGGTTAGCTTCAATGATAACAATGTACTCAGCTTCTGTACTAGAAAGTGCAACTATTTTTTACAGCCTAGAAACCCAACTCATTGTTGTATTCCCCAAAATGAAAATATAACTTGTTGTACTTCTTCTACCATTATTATCTCCTGCGAGATCCGAATCTACATATTCATGTAAATTAATTATTGTACTACAAAAAAAAAGTGTTTGTTGATCGTTTTTCTTAAATATCTGAGAATCCACTTTATTGTTTCTCAATGATATTTGTCTGGATTACGCATGTACCTGCTGACTTCTTCCACTGCATGTGCAATATCTATTAGTGTACATATCTTTTTATACATCAAATTTCTAACTGTTGAAGTATAGTGAGTCTTTTCATCTATGCTTGTTGTGCTTCAGTCTTAGATGATTGTTCCTTGGATGGCTTAAAGTGACTATCTAAGAGCGTCAAATTGATTTTCTTTCTTCTCGAACCTGTGTAGGACCTTCTCAATATATTTTGCTTGAAACACTTCAATACCTGCACTCCTGTC